GCGGTGTTTTCTCTCCCTCTGTGCTTCGACCGTTACTAGGCAGCAGCCAGCTCGCCTATGGACTGGCTGGGTAGCTATCGTGTGGGAACCCCAACAGACAAGCACGCAACAATAGAAGGGTGTTTTCTGTTTGCTCAAGGGTTTATGGACGCTTCGTGGAAAGGGAAACCAATCGAAAATACTCCGCTACATCGATTTGTCATGAGATGCTGGCGACACTATCATGCGTGCTATACGTGCCGATCATCTACTCTTTTAATCGAATCATTCTAATGTTATGTTAGAAAACATGGCGTCCTCTACTGTTGCGAAGACACGTTTACTGCAGTATTTCGGCTAGCCACATAGTGTCCTGCCCAAATGCTTATTTTCATTCCGTTGTCACAATTTCAATCCAACTTAGTGCGTTTGTTTGGCTATTGTGCAATTTTGGTGGCTATTGGTCAGCTATAATATTGTGACGTATTGCGCTATGGAGGACATCCCCTCCTCCGCCAGCGGTGACGTAACAACATCGGAGCGCTGTCACTGCTATGGTAACAGGCCAGTCAACACACACGCTCCCTCCGCCGCTGTCACGTAGCGGGGCATGCAGCCGTTGCTATTCAGCAATAAACAACTCTCGGCAACGTTGGTCAACAAAGCCTTTGTAAACACGGCGTCACGCAACAGGGGAGTCCGTTCAGCGGCTGTTGCTAGGCAATCGGTAAACGAGACGTCACACAACAGTGAAAGCCATCACGTAACATTTTTCTGTGTTGTCAGTACAGAAGCTACATAACAGGGCTATCAGTCAGTATTGACTATAAGAGACAGACCCATCTTCTCGTCAGAGAGGATGTTACTTAAGGACTATTACCGCAAGAGTTCAGTTGGAAAAAAAAACTCTGATCTTGGGCCTCAAGGGGCCTGATGCCAAGACGAACTGATTGGCGGTAAACCGCCAGTCGTAAAGTAACTCTGACTCTAGTGAGTACTGAGTTCAATTGTAGCGAGTGAATCGTGAACGTGACGAATACCGATAGTGTGAGAAGGTACTGGGAGTATGAAATGCAGTGACACTGGTATAGCTCCCGTATCGTACGTTGAATAAATGAAGACCGTTGTAGATAGAGTGAACAGATTACTGTGTAGGGTTTATAAATTGCGTAAACCCGCAACTGTGTTGTAAATAATTGTAGTTACGATTTGTAGGTTGGTAAATAAAATAATTAACAATATTATATTTCAGCATCCTGTTACACTCACACAATATATATGGACAAATACCGTCTTAAGTGCAACAATTTTATTGTAGTTTTTTCTCTTTTTCCTCCTCCACACTACATGTTTCGGCCCTAAATGGCCATCATCAGGTGTGTATCACTCACGTAACTGTTACACTGCTTGTTAAAAGTGTAAAAATCTCAGTCTTTCTAATTGTATAAAATCTTTGTTAATCTACACGCGTCGATTTGATTTTTAAATTAGCACTTTTTAAACCTTAATTCAAGTTAAAATGTCTATAAGATCTTTGTTCTCTTTCTTTTTCAAATTAAAATTTTTCAGGGTACATGCCCTATATCTACGGTGCTGCAGCGGCCACTTCTTGTTTTTATCGCTGTTCATGTGTTGTCTGTAATATACAAATATTTGTGTTACTATCTTATGTTATGTCTTGTTATGTTATTCTTATATGTTTATACTGTTATTTGTACTTACTCAGTGTAGGCGCTCTCTGTGTGTGTCGCCATTTAGGGCCGAAACATGTAGTGTGGAGGAGGAAAAAGAGAAAAAACTACAATAAAATTGTTGCACTTAAGACGGTATTTGTCCATATATAAAATAATTAACAATCCGAACGGCGTCTTCAGTAGCAAAACACGTTAAAATATATTGTCATGTGTTTTGTATGTAACGCGACAAATAACTTTACATCGTATTCGATGTAGCGAATTTATTGCACATTCACTCTTACACATATACAATTCACAATTTCTCAATTACTGTAATCCGCAGTATCACAATTACTTCTCGTGCTGGAGTCACTGTCATTCACTCCACACAACTCATTTCGGCGACTGGACTTCAGTTCATACGGGGCACTGGATACTAGTAACTCTCTCTCTAGCAACTGGCTTAATTCTCACTACTCATTACTTATGTAGCTTCCGCACTGACAACACAGAAAATAGTTACGTTATAGCCACCACTGTTGCATAATGTCGTGTTTATAGCCATTGCTGGGGATCTCTGCCGAGAGTTGTTTATTGCTGCGTAGCAACCAGACCGCTTCGGCTCGGCTCGGCTCTACTCGGCACGGCACTGAGAAACACCGCTTTCTTACTGTTGCGTAACCTTGTTTCCACTGTCTGTCCTCGTGGTAACTCGTTCCACCTCACGTTGCCCAGCAGCGGTTAGACATGTCACTGTTGGTGGTGATAATTAGAGTTCGATACAAGAATTAAAATTACAGAGCAATCAGGATCTGCAATATGAATCTCAGTTCATTCACGAGGCTTGTTATCAGGCAGCAGTCAGTGAACATATCGGAATAAGAATGCACTGACGCAATAATACTGGTTCGTTTCCAAGATACGGATTTTGTATTCCATAACTGAAGCTGGGAGATATATATCATTCGATTTGTAGACTTCGTAGAGTACACACACAATAAGAAGATAGCAGGAATAGTGATGTGGAAACTATGCACATTCAAGCAAATGTTAGGCTAGGAACACACATAGCGACATCGGTAGTATGGAAAATTTCGTACGGCCTCCATTATACAATAGAGCGAAAAAATTCATTTCTCTGCTCTCCGACTGTCGTACGGTAGATGTAGCATGTCGTCACATATGAAAGCTAAGACTACACTTTATATTCTACTACTTGATGCGACATGAACCGTACGGACGTAGTACGACCGATGACGCTGTGTGTGTTCCTAGACTCATAGTGACAGCTCAGCTACCACTGCTTAACAGCGGCGAGTAAACAGTCGTTGCTATGTAGGGTCTACAACAATATGTGACTATGAAAGGGACCACAGTGAATCTAGTGATAGCCAACCGCAAGCTAGAAACCATTCGCTGCCTAGCAATGGCCGAGTAAACAGGCGGTACTAGGCAAAGCCAGCAAAAATACGGAAAGAGACTTGTTTTCTATAGGTCCGACTCTATGTTATATAAGTAGATTCAGTGAGTGGAAATTTTTAGTTCTAATTGTGAGTTTTGTTACAATACTACGTTCAAGGTGTCATAGACTTCACTAACTCAAGTTCGTCTGTGTATACGGTGCAAATATAATTATTATAGAACAGTTCAACAAGTGGCTGTCTCTTCATATAACTACATACCACAGTTATATTAGAAAGCGACATATACGGCCTCTTATATTCAGCAGGTAAGTGAAGTGAGATATACTTCAGGAAATATAAGCATTTCATGTAAAGATAATCTGTATAACTGACTCCTGTTCGTTAAGAGAGGTCCGTTCTGGACATGTGACACGGCCAAACTCTTAAAACCCCTACCTCATTTTTAAGAAATACGCCTTAAAAACGTTCAATTTTTCACAAACTGCTTGCTGATTCCCTGTACTTGAAAAATCCTAAATTAACTGTCAACTTGGGGATATCAAAATCTGCCACATACCTTCTAAATGTCATTTTGTATTGATGGACCTAGCGAACTTCCTCAGGCCTTCCTCCGTCTTTAGAAGGAACTCAACATGGTGACAAAAGGCACTACCCCCCCCTGCCATGTTCGCTACGTTGGTTTGACGATTCAGTAATAAAAGACAAACGATCCTCAGCTTATGTTATATTTTAGCATCCTGTTGCACTGATTTAAGTCCATGATTTATTTAAACCGTCTTGCAGTGCATACAATCATTTATCTCCTTCTCTCCCTCGCACTACATGTTTCGGCATAATAATGCCATCTTCAGGTGCTTACTTATCCACGCCAAACTAGTTCATTGCATGCCTTGTTCTCATATTAAAATAACTAAAATATGTATCTATCATATACATTGTCAAACGTTAAAATATTAAAATTGTTCAGGATACCACATCGCTACGTCGCACCTCACTACTCCAGTCACGCCCATTCTCCTCTGTTGGAGCACTCCTTCACTATCTTGTGTGTGTTGTGCTTTTGTTGTGTCTTGCTCCTGTGACTGGGTGTGTTATACTGTTCAGTATAACTGAACCTTGTATGCACACAACCTCAACGTCTTATGTAGTACTTTGTGTATCATTGAACGTGGAATAAACAACTCACGCGAAGCTTGACGTGTGGATTTTGTAGGGCTTCGTACAAACGATTCACGGATTCTTTCCACATGTCCATCGCTTACACTAGGTCTGCTACTTCTCTTGCGATCATGGACACTCCCAGTTTCTAGGATACGCCGTTGCCAGTCTCTTACTCCTTTGTCACTCTGAGGTTTCTCATTGAACTATGTGCGGTAATTTCGTTGAGTCTGGATGACTGATTTTGTCTCAAAAAGCCATCCTACACAAGGCGCGCATTCCTGCATAGTCCCCATTTGACAAGCAACTTACAGAAAAGTAAAGATCGCCACTTATGTCATCTGTTTGCGGCAAAAGAAAACTTCCATAGTTTCATTATGATCTGCCGCAAATCATATGAGGCTACCTCAATTTGTTTGCGCGCCACACTTTTTCAAAATCCCGAAGGGACTCTGTGAACACACCGTATATCAATGACAATCCTGTAGAGTAAACGAATATAAATTTTACATTGGCATTTCCTTATATAAAGCACAAATGAGTCACTCCTCTCTGACACTGTACCTGTATGTCCATCTATCTGCGGGGCTGCCTGCTCGTCCTCTTTGCCGGCTTTCTGTTGTCTGTAACAGAGCGACGAGAAGTGATTGCTGTTTATGATTGTGTTTTAATAATCTGTTAAATAAACATTTTCATTTGCCCACAGAGAGAGAATCATCGTCGTGCTTGCGATTGGATTGAGATAAAGCGAGTAAAGGAGACGATGAAGGTGAGTTTACACACACTGCCTACTCCACATGGCACAGACACTGTAGAACATACGGCTACATGAAGTCGGTCAATGAAGTGATTCAGTATTTCTAAATAACGTTAATATTTCTAACGAGTTTCATTCGCAGTCCAATTCCACAATTACTATCATTCTCAGGCACACTTTGTACCATATAGTTGCATTCATGAAAATATTCTACGCAATTAATGTCTCTCTTTTCCTCAGATTAAGCATAAATTTAACTTGATTTTCATTCCTTCTTGTCAGCGTTAAGGAAAAGAACACTTTAGGCCGTCCGTCTGCGGGCCTGCTTGCTCGTCCGCTACGGCGGTTTCGTGCAGTCTCCTATAGGGAGATCAGATCTAGATCCTGGAACACGGCTACTAGGATTTTTTGCTGTTCATGACTGTTTTAAAAATCAGTTAAACATTTTACTTTTTGTCCACAGGAAATAGACGAACGCAGTGATGAGATGCAAAGTCACATTGAGTCATTGGTGACCATAATAAAGGTGAGATAACCATGTCACTTACTCCATCGAACTTACGTTAAAGATGGCACATACGTACATTCAAGAGTATTTGCCCAAGAAAAACCAAGTCAATGAAGTGACTGAGTAGATGTAAACATTTAAATATTTCGATAAAATTTATTCAAAATTAAATCTACACTTATAAGCACCATTAGGCACACTTTAACTAAACCTGAAGCTTGATCGATGTAGGCCGCAGGCCAGACGGAGTTCTCTTCCGAATCCTAAGTTGGCTAGTGTTAACCCCTCCTTTGTGGGTGGATGCCCTTTAAGGCAAGGAGGAAGACAGGCAATCTTGTTACGTGACGGCCTATTGCAGGCGCTCCTCGAACTTCTGATGTATCGCCTCACCAAGCTGTCCAACTGTGGTTGCAGGAATACAGTCGCGGGGGGGGGGGTGCATTATCTGCTACATCCTTCGAGTTAATTTGGATTCTAGGTGAATTCAATTCTGAGGCCAAGCTCTGAAAACGCTCCCAATCCGCAAATTTGTTAACCGGGTCCGAAAGGTACCTAGTTCTAATATGATCCAACAAATAGAAAACAATTGGCAGGTGATCTGAGTCCAGAATGTCAGAGGCAATGATTTCTAACAACCGGACTTTCTTGTGCACAACAATATCACCATTTCCAGCAGGAGAGTAATGAATGGGTCATTGTTGTGCTGAAATTTCAAACTCATTTATGTGAAGTAAATTCAGGAGTTTCGCGCCTGAAGAGTTGGAAAGTACGTTATTCCAAAATGGATATATAGCTTTCAGATTTCATACCAGTAGCGACTTGTCTTAAGCTTAAGAGCTCAGCAATGTCTGCATTATTCCAGGAGTGACTGGTAGCTTCACTCCTACCAACCGGTATACAGACCCCTGTGCCTTCTATTCAAGTACGGAGAGGCAGTTCCACATGGTTATGGGGAATGCCTTTCATAAGGGTAGTTCTGCCTTTTCTTCCCAGGAAGGAGTCAGTCCGATAATTTGGAATAAAGAGCCTCTCTTGTGTATTGGGATGCATCTGCGAGAGCAGAGCCACATCCACATGTACGAGTACGTCTTGCAGCTGTATACTGAGCCCACGGCGCTGTCTCCCAATGCGTTAACTGCCATGTTTACGGGAGTCCTACGAACTCTAGTAGCCATGTTGAATTGTTGAAGAAGTAGAAGTGTAGGTGGTAGTGAGAAACACTACAGTTGGGGGGGGGGTTAAAGAACTATAGCTCCGATATGGAAGGTTCCAGGCAGTGCCCGCTTGTCCTTCTGGGATGGATAGAGCTTATAATCAGATTTTCTTTATACATTATATATTTTTATGACCCTGGAAGGGGTGCATTAGAGTAAATTTTTTTTTGCTAACGTTGGGAGGGCTATATTAGGGCGAAAATTTGGTGTTAACAATGGGAGGGCTGCATGTGAGACATGAAGTGCAACGTGAAATTTGGGTACCAACTCAGAATTAGCTCTAGGACCGAGGAAAACCACGGAAAATCTTGGTCGAGCTGGCCGGACGCAGGACCTTCCGGCTGCAAACTGACTTCTAGCCAGCAGTCCGGCATTAAATGCGCCAACCCTAACATTAGACATTATCTGTTCTGTTGCTTTATTTTAACGTTTACATGTGTTTCTACAATTTTTTTTCTTTTGCATAATTTGGATGAGCATCAAATATTTGTATATCATATTTTCAAAGGGTTTCAATTGTTTAAGTATTGATAAATTTAGATCTATATTGTGGAGGGGCAAAAGTTTGTTGCTCATGAACAAATTGTCCTGTTTATAACATTTCAACACGGACCGCGCAGAAAACACTGCTCCCCTTTTGCAGTGCAATTGTTGCCGTGGAATTATTGCGTTCTTGTCTGTTGGCGGAGCTGCCACGTAGCACGGCCAGCTGCACAGTTGCTTGTTTCATGGCCGTTGCTTAACAACGGGTCTACAAACCACACTACAATGTCTGAAAGTATGAAGACACTTCACGCAATTAAGGTCTCTCCTTCCTCAGATGCAACATAAATTTAGTCGTCACTCTTCTCCAGAGTGATGTAAATTTACGTCCATATGCGGTCCTGCCTGTTCGTCTCCTATGCCGGTTTTATGCTGTTTGTAAGAGAGGGATCAGATGTAGAGGCTAAAAAGGGGCTATCAGAACTAATCAACGTTTATCACTGTTTTAAGAATCAGTTAAACAACCATTTCTATTTCTCCACAGGCGGCAGAAGTACGCCGTGAGCAGCTATGCGATAAAATGGTTTCACTGGCGAAGTCCGCGAAGGTGAGATAACCACATCACTTACTCCACATGTCACTTATACGGTAAATAAGGCACATGCGTACATTCAAGAATATTTGACCAAGAGAAGCCAGTCAAAGAAGTGGCTGAGTAGATGTAAACATATTAACAATTCTGATCAATTTCATTCAGAAATAAATCCCACCAATTATAAACATTCTTAGGCACAATTCATACTGTATATTCATACGGACGACTGTCCGCTTAGAGCACCGCAAATGAGAATTGTTATGAAAATTCCACATACGATTTTGAATTAAACTTCAGGGTCACTTTCTAAATATTCATAACATACCCATTTTTTTTTCAACAGAGATATACGGATAATTAAAAAATATTTTATGCCCATTACAAAGCTTTCCTACCTCGAATTCTGACACAGAATGTATGCCTCAAAATATAGACGTTCATATAATGTCTGAAAAGATCAAAATATTCCATGCGTTTAAAGTTACCACCTCCTTAGATACAGAATAATTTTAATGTCACTCGTTTATAACACTATACGTACATCCATTTGCGGACCTGCTTGCTCGTCCGCTGTGTCAGTTTCATTCTCAACGTTAGAGGGAGATAAGATGTAGAGGATGGAACAGATGGAACAGCAGTCAGAAATGACTGCTGTTCATGACCGTTTCAAAAATCAGCTAAACAAATATTTATATTTCTCCACAGGAGGCAAGAAAACGCCGTATGAAATTACGGAGAGAGATATACTCATTAGAGAAATTGATTCGGGAGGTAAGTCAAGCTCATCAGTTCACACGTCACTTTCTTTAAAATGGCACATATGAGGGGTTACGCAAAAGAAACCGAAATTATCTATATAAACTTATTTATTAAAATTTTAAGCACAAACCTTCAATCCCCTTCAAAGTACTCTCCACTTACACTAATACACTTGTCTAGTCTTTTATTCCATTTTTCAAACCATGGTCTAAATTCATCTTTTGAGATGCTTGACAGCGCCTCCGTCGTTTTTTTCCTTTCATGTCTCATTTCATTCGAGGAAACAAAAAAAAAGTCGCACGGGGCAAGGTCGAGCGTGTATGGAGTGTGAGGAACAGGGGTCATACTATTTTTGTCAAGAATTGTCATACAGACAGGGCTGTGTGAGCAGGAGCATTGTCATGATGGAAAAACCAGTCACCCGACTGCCACAAATCTGGCCGCTGAGTTCCAAATCACTCCCGACAGCTCCACAATTCCTTCAATAGTCCGTCGTCGACCTCCTTTGATGATTTCACGAATTTTTTCAACATTTTCATGTGTTCGGGCAGTGGAAGGACGACCAGAAAGAGGTTTGTCATCAATTGATATTTCACCATTTTTGAAACGGGAAAAGCACTCAAACACTTGAGTTTCCCCCATAGCATCGTCCTTGTAGGCCGTTTTTAACATTTCAAAAGTTTCTGTTCCACTTTTCCCGAGCAAAAAGCAGAATTTCACCGCCGCACGATGTTCACGAAAATCAGCCATTGCAAAAACGACGATCACACGAAACAGTTGTCACTATAAACTCTGCCGAAACTAGTCCTTACCTTCTGAAGCAACGGTAGTCGGCTTATCGACTCAGGAATGTTAGCCGTATACACTCATAGCGGCAAAACGCGGTACTACAAAAGCTCTGCCCACAAAAATTAGTTCGGTTTCTTTGGGTACCTCATCGTATATTCAAGAATATCTCACCAAAGGATCTCCGTGATTCAGGAAAGTTTGAATACGAAACTATCCCACAAATGTTTACCTACGCCTACATGGATTTCATTATAGATTTCATTTAAACACATTTTGGTAAGTGTTAACTTGTTTCATAAGTATCCGTAACCCAATAAGAATGTTGTACTGAATCAAAAACTTTTTTGAAGTCTACGAATAGCTGATGTACTGTCTCATTGTACTCCCAATCTATTCCTCCAGTACTTGATGAATGGAAAAATCTTATCAGTGTTTGTCTTTCAGATGCTCACTGGTTGGTTCCAGAAATGTCCATTAGAATTGCGTCTTAACATTGTTCAGATTATCTCAATTTATTTGGCTCGAATATCGTAAAAGTTACAATTTGGCTTCTTACCGGTGTCTGTTAGTTTTAATAGCCTTCGTCGAACCATGGCTTATGCTGCATCAATTCGTAATGAGTTAGATTATCTTGGCTGAAAGTGTCATATTCTCGCTAATAGTTTCCCAATTTGCGATCCTCCTTCAGATTCTAATCTCACAGTGTTACTTACGTTATACCTCGTTTAGCTTATTGCGATTTTACGTCTCCGCATGAAACTTTTCCTTGCTCGATTACTTACTGCCAGTCTCTTCCTAACTTCTGCAACAACGACACAGTGATCAGGTACCACACTCCGCTCCTCTGAAAGGCCGCACGTAAAGTACACTTGAATTTTTTAGCTACAAAATTGTGGTAAATATGGCTGTTTTCTTTTTAATCCAGAATACGTACAGGGCGAATCTGGAAGAGGTGGAATGCTGTATAGAATATGTGAATTCCATCAACGAGAACATGGCTGTCACTGAAGGAGGAAACGAGAACTCTATCGGTGAGTAGATTGCACAGCCCTGCACTGCTAATGAAACCTTCAAATCACACATTCCATTACCTTAACATTCAGGTAATTCTGGCAGCAGAGCGAAATTCTTTCAGCTTATCAAGATATTCGTATTAGCATTACAGTTTGGGGGAAATTCCACCAGGTTTAGTTATAAGAATGTAACTGATTTCAAGGTATATTGAATCAGTATCCATTTCCAAATCGAGATACATATTTCCATAACTGCTTATGGTGAGATTTTACATTTTCTTCCACCGATTTTTGCTAATGAAATATCTCTAAGTCTATACGGTTGTTTCACCTAATTTGCTGTAAACAGTAAGTGTGTCTAAAAAGAGAGAGATTTATATTTCTTGTAACATTTACAGACATAATTCTCCTTCTTAATATAAGCTTTTAACTTTCCAGAAACCAGGCAGAGTATTTATGCTTTTTAATGTAACCACAAAGAATAGCTAAATCTATGGCTAGGGTTACAGCAAAATTTAATCTGCCAACGGCAGCATCAACAGATGTTTCGTTGTACAGTGAAGACCAGTAATAACTAGATAAGTAATTATAAGTAACTGCATAATCCCAAGAGGAATATCTTTTGTAAGATCTTTCTAAAAAGTGTTTATAACGTCCCAATGGCATGGCACAGTCAGTGACAAAATGAGGGAATTGATCCGGCTGAACTTGGCCGTGTTCAGCATGGTCAACCGAAAGATCAGCAAGATTTGTAAAATTTAGGTCAAGAAATTTGCAGCAGTTGTCAAGATAATTACGTAGGGAAGTGAAAAATTATCCGCACTTTTGGTTTTCCAATTTATATACATAAAAGTAGGGGTTGAACAAGTACGTCATTTTTCTACATACTCGCCTTCCTTTTCGATGCACTTGGTCCAGCGGTCCACATGCCTGCGTAATACCTCCAAGAAGAAGGTTTTCGGGTGGTAGCGTAACCATTTAAGCACCGCTTTTCGCAGAAAATCGACGACCTTGTAAAGCATCTCTGAGGAGTCCAAAGAGATGGTAGTCGGAAGGGGCAAGATCTTGGTTGTAGGCAAGGTGTTCTAGCACCTTGGAACCGAAATGATTAATGGTTTCAACGGTCTGGTCGTCCATGTGTGGGTTTGTAATATCATGCAACAACAACACTTTCCTCGACATAAGCATCGGCGTTTGGTGCGAATTTCTGGCTTCAGATTGTTGGCCAGCAAATCACTGTATCTTGAACGGTTGATCGCACACCCTTCTTCCAGGTAGTCTTCCAGTATGGCCCCTTTTCAGTCAGAAAAAATGGTTAGCATCACCTTTCCCGCGGAAGATTGAGTTTCGAAATTCGTGTCCGGACACTTTTAAATTTGTCGATTCACTCATACACATTTCTACGAGGCAGAGCACTGTCCCCGTATTGTGTTGAAAGCTCCGATGAATTTCAGAACCTGACACACCTTCCATCCACAGAAATCGGATCACTGTTCTTTGTTCCTCCTTCGTGCACACTGCTAGCGGAGCGGCCATGTCTACACTGTCACAGCATCAAAGAAAATGAAGTAATCAAGTTCAAAATTCGATCATGTGACCACAGTAGTACCAACTCTAAGCATGCATGAGCAGAAAGCAGTGTGACAAACCTAAAGNGGAGAAGGTCATGAACACTAAAGGGGGAATGGAGATACAGCTCCGATATTCTTTAGGCCTTTAGCTTTACGCCCCGGCCGGAAACACCCGCGGAAATCACCTCCAGTAAAAATTGAATAGGAGGTTGGGAGGGCCCAAGAATCGGTTGGAAGCTGTGAGAAAGAGAAACTCTTGTCCTCTTGACTAGGGTATGGAAGGGTTACAACGGGNATAATTTCTACCCATATATATTGTGATATGTGACACCTACCTCCCCGGCGGTAACGTAGCACTTGCGTAATAGGCGAGTCATCACCCCACCACTCTCCCCGCGGTGACGTCACCAAGGGATATCGCGGTCGCTAGGCAACACGGATAAACAATGATGTCTACCACGTGGTTGTTTTCTCGTTGACCTGCTGAGGGTTTATAAGCNTAAAAGTTAATTCTCTAACAAGGACTTTGGTCTCTTACAGAACTTCAAAAGACCAAGAGCAGGATTCCTGTGAAGTCAGCCCCAAGCGTACTGCAGTCCAAGGTGAAAAGTTTCAGCAATATCAGTCACAAGCCTTGTGGGGGAAATGTTAGGATAGTACACCGGAAGTTCGACTATAGCAACGTGCAGGCCAAGGTCAACACATGGAGGAATACGGCATAAGGGGGTGACTGGAGCATACATGGCAGCAAATAACAGCAAACAGCATTGCCCCAGTGTACAAGCCGTGAAGCAAACACGAATTCTAAAGCCTACCTCGATGGAAGCATACAAATTCGCTGAGGTCACTCTCATAGCATTTGAAGCTATTTTTCGAGCTGTGCAAGTCGTGAAACAATCACGAATCCTGACACCTACCTCGATGGAAGCATACAAATTCGCGGAGGTCACTCTCATANTGAAAATATTCAAGTTCCGATCTAAGTTTTTCGCCAGAAACTGCTTCAGAAACAGCAACTGAAGCTCCACCGGCACGTGATTCAGTTCGAAAACCTCGATAAATACGATATACAGNCCAAACAAGAATGCTGAAACCTACCTCGATCGAAGCATACAAAATCGCTGAGGTCACTCTCATAGAATTTGAAGCTATCTTTCGAGCTGTACAAGTCGTGAAGCAATCATGAATGCTAAAACGTACCTCGATCGAAACATACATATTCGCTGAGGTGCTTCGATTGCACAATGGGACACTGCTAGTTACTGTAATAGTAGGGAATATTTTCGATTGCATGTCTGATGTCTGTTGCAAGTTCCTCGCTTGTACTTCTGTGGCTCCAAAGCATCTATTTCTTTTATTTTTCCCTCTACAACCACTCTGTGACTACATTTAAATTATATTAATTTTATCCTTTAATGTAATATTTATATTACTTTTATCCTTAATTGTGATCTTTCTTCAATAAATATATAAAAACTTATGTTTAAATAGTTTTCATTACCTGTTTCCGACACGTTAGAACAATATCCATATTTTACATATAACTTCGAATAGCTGGAATTCGAATAATGCGACCACTTCATGGGATTTAATATCCGCGCTAGTGAAGACCTAGCTATACTGATCCTGTCATAACATGGTGGCGGCTAAGACGGTGTAAGAAAGAGGACAGGTAAAGAAAGGTTGCACCTGTGCTTAACTAATTCAGCGATACACCATGAAGATGTATGGGGGAATTGATGTATAGACACAAATTTTCTTGACCTAGGCACTTGATGGATGTGAGTGGTCAGCTTCACGACCCAGCCGCTGTACCCCCGGGGATAGAATCTCACGTAACTCGTTGGATAGGTTGCTGGGTTGGCCCCACAGCCAGTCTGGACGACATGGAGAAGTGAAAATATTTTCCCCCTCCGGGACTCGAACTCACCATAATATCTGTGTGTTTGTGTATCGCCCCCATCAACTTTTGAATGCCCGAAACAATCTTGGTATGCATACAATTGAACCTGGGTCCCTTCTCAACGACGTCCTTCTTGAATCCCTCCCTTCACTCTTTGTATCAGCACGCATAGCTCCCTAACGTTGATAGGCAACGGCTAGGAAAAAAACGTTACCGCGGCAACAAAAATACGCAACAATAGCAGAAATCTTGGATGCGTCGTCTTCTATGCCTTCCATGTAGTATCAAGTAAAGTATTCGATAAGTTCTTCCCAGAACTTGGGAGGCAGGTCGAATACCTCCACCGTAAACCTGCGAGCAGTAGGCGACGAAAAGGGAACCCAGTGCCTGCGGTTATAACTGCGCCACCCTGTTCCTCTGGGATATATATATAGTGGGACCTGGCCTTACAAGTTGAGGGTGTTTCGAATCTGAAGCAAAGANGAATGACTGAGCTGGCGACCTCCTCATGTCAGAGAGGATGTTACATAAGGATTATGACAGCAAATGTTCAGTTGAAAATTAAATTGCTATTCGTGAGTCCTCAAGTCCAAATGACTGGCGGTAAACCGCCAGTCGCAAAGTAATTTTGACTCTGACTCTCGTCGAAGAATACATCCCATTTTGAAAACGCTTAAAAGGCTGAAAAAAAAAAACATCGTAATGGGTCCCGAAACCAAAAATGATTGTGCTGGCGAGGGCCAGCGCCAATTTACTAGACTGAATTGAAAGGAAAAGAGGCAATTAATTCTACCCAGAACATCTTGTTATATTATTCTACCATCTACGTCTAGGTCTTCCCGGTGATAACTTTAGCTATTATTTCAACAAAATCACTAACCGGGTTTACCTTTGTGATCGCAGAGCAATGGGTTTTATATCACGTAAACAGATTTCAAAATATTGTCACGTATTGGGCGTATATCGCGACAAATAACTTCACGCCGTATTTGATATAGCGAATTTTATTTCACATTCGCACTTACAATCACCCAAATTACAGATTTACGATTACTGCTATCTGCAGTATCACAAATACTACACTCCAAATGCCACAATACAACTGACTGGTTGCTGGCTAACTCGGATCTAACTCGGAGGTAGCTCCAGGACTAACTGTGAATAGCCTCCGCCGCTCCTCATGTAGCCTCGATCGGACAATACAGAAAACGGCCACGTAATAAGCACCCTTGTTGCCTGGCGCTGTGTTGCTAGCAACGCTAGCGGTAGTAACCGCTGTTACTACCGTCGTCTCTC